CCCAGAACTAAGAGGCATGAGTTACGAGCAAAGGCTGCGGGAAATGCACCTTACGACTCTGGAAGACAGAAGAGTAAGGGGAGACATGATCACAACCTACAAAATCCTCAGAGGAATCGACCGGGTAAACAAGGATGAACTATTCAACACTGGTGGGACGCGAACAAGGGGACACAGGTGGAGACTGAGTACCCACATGAGCCACAGAGACGTTAGAAGGAACTTTTTCAGTGTCAGAGTAGTTAACGGATGGAATGCATTAGGCAGTGATGTGGTGGAGGCTGACTCCATACACAGTTTTAAATGTAGATATGATAGAGCCCAGTAGGCTCAGGAACCTGTACACCAGTTGATTGACAGTTGAGAGGCGGGACCAAAGAGACAAAGTTCAACCCCCGCAAGCACAAATAGGTGAGTACACACCCGCCCCTCACACCCCCACACGGGGGTCGTAGCCCGAAAAACCGGGTTCGATTCCCGGCCGAGGCAGAAACAATTGGGCAGAGTTCTTTCACCTGATGCTCCTGTTCACCTAGCAATAAATAGGTACCTGGGAGTTGGACAGCTGCTACCGGCTGCTTCCTGTGGGTGTGTGTGTGTGTGTGTATAAGGTAAAAGATTAAAAATAGGTCGGATGTCAGTACATTAGACAACCAATGGTGAGAAAGGCGGGGTCCAAGAGCTAACAACTCGACCCTACAGAGGGAGGGAATTATCAGGGAAAGCGCCAAGCCGTTGACACTATATAGGGATGGGACGGGGGGGGGGGAGGGATGGAATGGTGCCCAACCACTTAAGACGATCGGGGATTGAACGCCGACCTGCATGAAGCGAGACCGTCCTTCTACCGTCCAGTTGTTGAGTCCTACAGGTTACAGACACATAATGGGTTCAGAAACTGTCCCCAACAGTTCATTTAGCTAAACAAGTGACAATCTTGTGAACCTGAATTATCCAATGATTGATATCACATACAGGGCACAAAGACGGGTGAAGTCCCCAAGACACCCGTCGCCGCGGCGGAGGTCGACAGGTGACAATGGTCGGGGTCGACAGGTGACAATGGTCGGGGTCGACAGGTGACAATGGTCGGGGTCGACAGGTGACAATGGTCGGGGTCGACAGGTGACAACGGTCGGGGTCGACAGGTGACAATGGTCGGGGTCGACAGGTGACCATGGTCGGGGTCGACAGGTGACAATGGTCGGGGTCGACAGGTGACAATGGTCGGGGTCGACAGGTGACAACGGTCGGGGTCGACAGGTGACAATGGTCGGGGTCGACAGGTGACAAGGTCGGTGTGGCTACTGCTGCTGCTTGGCAAGTCAGCTGGCACTGGCCATATGCCATAAATGGCACCACCGGTCGTCTACATGGACCACAAACTAGCCGAGCCCACTGTAGCTACCGGCCACGTACACCCTAGTGGGTCATGTTGGGTGTCACCCACGTACACCCTAGTGGGTCATGTTGGGTGTCACCCACGTACACCCCTAGTGGGTCATGTTGGGTGTCACCCACGTACACCCTAGTGGGTCATGTTGGGTGTCACCCACGTACACCCTAGTGGGTCATGTTGGGTGTCACCCACGTACACCCTAGTGGGTCTGATCCACCAGACTGTTGGAGACGGCTGGCTGTCACGAAACTCTACTGTCAATATCACGACTGACAGGAATTTTCCTGTCACATCACGACTGACAGGAAGCTCAAGCTGAGCTCAAACAGAGCCGCCATGACCGAGGAAAGATGTAGCGGTTTCGAAAGAGGTTGAGCAAAGGCCAGGTCCTGGAGGTGAAACAACCAGATGGACCACCGTAATACCGACCTTGGCCCAGATTCACGAAGCAGTTACGCAAGCACTTACGAACCTGTCCATCTTTTTCTCAATCTCTAGCGGCTTTGTTTACAATTATTAAACAGTTAATGAGCTCCGAAGCACCAGGAGGCTGTTTATAACGATAACAACAGTTGATTGGGTAGTTGTCATGCTTGTAAACTGTTTAATAAATGTAACCTAAGCCGTCAAAGATTGAGGAAAGATGTACACGTTCGTAAGTGCTTGCGTAACTGCTTCGTGAATCTGGCCTCTGGCGGGTGCATCAGACTCCGTACGTTAAGCGAGTTGCTTGGGGGGGGGGGGGAGGGGGTCGTAACGAGTGATCGTAACGAGTCTGGTCAGGCAAAACCGATGCATTTTTTACGTTCTTGGTTAGACGAGAAAGTTTCAATTTGGGTTTACTGCACCTGCGCTCTACTGCACCTGTGGTCTACTGCACCTGTGGTCTACTGCACCTGTGGTTTACTGCACCTGTGGTCTACTGCACCTGTGGTTTACTGCACCTGTGGTCTACTGCACCTGTGGTTTACTGCACCTGTGGTCTACTGCACCTGTGGTCTACTGCACCTGTGGTTTACTGCACCTGTGGTTTACTGCACCTGTGGTCTACTGCACCTGTGGTCTACTGCACCTGTGGTCTACTGCACCTGTGGTTTACTGCACCTGTGGTCTACTGCACCTGTGGTCTACTGCACCTGTGGTCTACTGCACCTATGGTTTACTGCACCTGTGGTCTACTGCACCTGTGGTCTACTGCACCTGTGGTTTACTGCACCTGTAGTCTACTGCACCTGTGGTCTACTGCACCTGTGGTTTACTGCACCTGTAGTCTACTGCACCTGTGGTCTACTGCACCTGCCGGTACAGATGTAAACTAACGTTCTTCAAGCCCCACACACTATCAGTGCCGGAGGTAGAGGTGCCTGGAGTTTACCTAGGTTTACCTCGAGGCGTTTCAAGAGGGCCAATAACCCACCGTCCACAACAGGCACTTAGACAAAATTACATTTTCCAATTCATTTTATACTAATTTTCTTTCAATTGCAATGGCGGTGAGGTGTGGGGGAGGGGGGAGGGGGTAGGGGGGGTTAGGGGTGGGATGGAGGGGGGGGGAGGTTAGGGATGTATGGGGTAATATGGGGGTTCATGGAGGGGGAGGGTTTATGGGGGTGGTGGTGGTTGTATATGTAGGGGTTTAAGTGGTTGGGGTTGGGGGGGGTTGTTATATATAAGAGTAAATGGAGGTTTTGTGGGGGGTTGGAGGGGGAGAGTGGTGGGGGAGGCAGGGATAGGTGAGCATAGATAGGAAGGGGAAAAGAGGGGGGGGGTCGAGAGTGGTAGGGGGGAAATGGAAGGATAGGGGAACATGGTAGGCAGAGGGAAGGCAGGAGGGGAGGGGTAGGGGAGCTGGGCAATAAAGGGGGGGAGGTGGGGTAGTAGGAAATGAGAAGGGTATCAACACCAGCATCCCAACTACCACCACCCCCACCAACCCCCCCCCCCATCATTACTCCCCCCTAACTGCGGACCCTGCATCGCCAAACTCTGTAATCTGCCTGTTAAAAGCAGCAAATACTTATAATGCCCCTACTCTCCCAAGAGGAGAGGAGCCACTCGTATGTCGCCCGACGATTAGGACCTGGTTATAGAAATATCGCTCCACGGTTATCGTGGTAATGATGGTGTTGGTGGTACTGGTAGGGGGGGAGGGGGGGGGGGGGATTGTGGGGGGAGGTGTGGGGGAATGATGTGGGGTGTGGTGGAGGATATTGTAGGGCGTGGAAGGGGTATTGTAGGGCGTGGAAGGGGTATTGTAGGGCGTGGAAGGGGTATTGTGTGGCGTGGAGGGGATATCGTGTGGCGTGGAGGGGATATCGTGTGGCGTGGAGGGGATATCGTGTGGCGTGGAGGGGATATCGTGTGGTGTGGAGGGGATATCGCGTGGCGTGGAGGGGATATCGTGTGGTGTGGAGGGGATATCGTGTGGCGTGGAGGGGATATCGTGTGGCGTGGAGGGGGTATCGTGTGGCGTGGAGGGGATATCGTGTGGCATGGAAGGGATATCGTGTGGCATGGAGGGGATATCGTGTGGCGTCGAGGGGATATCGTGTGGCATGGAGGGGATACCGTGTGGCGTGGAGGGGATATCGTGTGGCATGGAGGGGATATCGTGTGGCGTGGAGGGGATATCGTGTGGCATGGAGGGGATATCGTGTGGCGTGGAGGGGATATCGTGTGGCGTGGAGGGGATATCGTGTGGCGTGGAGGGGGTATCGTGTGGCGTGGAGGGGATATCGTGTGGCGTGGAGGGGATATCGTGTGGCGTGGAGGGGATATCGTGTGGCGTGGAGGGGATATCGTGTGGCGTGGAGGGGATATCGTGTGGCGTGGAGGGGATATCGTGGCCCCAGTGTCGCTAGACCAGTACAGGAAGACACAACTTACCTTAGCTGCCCACTGCACCAAACCGGACACACACACATACACACGCACGTACCTGTTGGATGAGAAAATGAACTTAAGTAATATTATCACCATTACTGCTAATGCTGTGTGACTGTAGCACGGTGCTTCCGCCCGTGTGTGTGTGTGTGTGTGTGTGTGTGTGTGTGTGTGTGTGTGTGTGTGTGTGTGTGTGTGTGTGTGTGTGTGTGTGTGTGTGTTTACTAGTTGTGTTTTTACGGGGGTTGAGCTTTGCTCTTTCGGCCCGCCTCTCAACTGTCAATGTGTATGTATGTGTGTGTACTGTGTGTGTGTATGTGTGTGTACTGTGTGTGTGTGTGTGTGTGTGTGTGTATGTGTGTGTGTCACACAACTGTATGTGTGTGTGTCACACAACTGTATGTGTGTGTGTGTGTGTCACAACAACATACACAACTGTCAATGTGTATGTATGTGTACTGTGTGTGTGTGTGTGTGTGTGTGTGTGTGTGTGTGTGTGTGTGTGTGTGTGTGTGTGTGTGTGTGTGTGTGTGTGTGTGTGTGTGTGTGTACGTACGTACTACCTAAATAAACGTGTAGGGGTCAAGCCTTACCTACAATCACCTATTACCCTCACTCCCAACCCTCCCATTTTCTGCATCCTATTTGGCAGCGTCTTCCAATTACCTTCCCCTATCTCTCGTCGTAGCCCATTGTAACATTTTCCACTCTTACGATCATGGAGCTCTTACCAACATCTTACGATCATGGAGCTCTTGCCAACATCTTACGATCATGGAGCGCTTACCAACATCTTACGATCATGGAGCGCTTACTAACATCTTACGATCATGGAGCTCTTACCAACATCTTACGCTCATGGAGCGCTTACCAACATCTTACGATCATGGAGCGCTTACCAACATCTTACGATCATGGAGCGCTTACTAACATCTTACGATCATGGAGCTCTTACCAACATCTTACGCTCATGGAGCGCTTACCAACATCTTACGATCATGGAGCGCTTACCAACATCTTACGACAGTGGAGTGCTTACCAACATCTTACGATCATGGAGCGCTTACCAACATCTTACGCTCATGGAGCGCTTACCAACATCTTACGATCATGGAGCGCTTACCAACATCTTACGATCATGGAGCACTTACCAACATCTTACGATCATGGAGCGCTTACCAACATCTTACGATCATGGAGCACTTACCAACATCTTACGATCATGGAGCGCTTACCAACATCTTACGATCATGGAGCACTTACCAACATCTTACGATCATGGAGCGCTTACCAACATCTTACGATCATGGAGCGCTTACCAACATCTTACGATCATGGAGCACTTACCAACATCTTACGATCATGGAGCGCTTACCAACATCTTACGCTCATGGAGCGCTTACTAAGATGCTTCCTGCCTCACCCGTTCCTCAAGCTGAACATGTCTCAACTCACTTATGTTAAACCTCAAGGGACTCCTACCTCTCAGGTATTCTCTAATTTCATCATACTCGCCTTTTCTTCTGTACTAACCTCTCCCCCTTTCCCTTGTAATGTGTTATTTTGCAAATGGTCTTCATCCTCATTAGGGAATCCAAAACTTGGACCCAGCGGTGAATGAGTCTCGTGTTCTAATCCTTTAATGTCGTTCGTCAACTGCCTCTATTTGGGCTTGATGGGACCCGGAGTGGATTCAGATTTTTACTCTAGCGTCGCCTGGAGCCAGGTTTGTCTTGTGGTAATTTGCTCTAGAGGCTGTTGCTTGACCCCACTCCTATATTGACTACAACCTAGGTTGTCCCGGCACCTCCTGTAGGGTGGCGTGGAGGGGTTATCGCGTGGCGTGGAGGGGGTATCGCGTGGCGTGGAGGGGGTATCGCGTGGCGTGGAGGGGGTATCGCGTGGCGTGGAGGGGTTATCGCGTGGCGTGGAGGGGTTATCGCGTGGCGTGGAGGGGGTATCGCGTGGCGTGGAGGGGATATCGTGTGGCGTGGTCAAGCCTGGCCTCAGGTCGGACTTGGGGAGTACACAAGAACTCCCCGAACCCCCATCCAAGTACAATCCAGGTACAACGTATCAAAGTGTTTCTTGAACCCGTCCTCTCGTCCTCTCTTCCATCTAGTCCCCTGTTAGTCTCTTTCTCAATAGCTAGTTTAACACTGCCATGGTTACCTCCCTCGAGCCAGAGCGTTTCCGCCTGGGACCTAGCTAATTTGTCCCTCCTAGTGACAGCTGGGACTCACGACATGGACGCAGGTGTTACAAACTACCAACTACCGCAAAGTTTATCACCCAAGCACCGGCAATCCGCGTGCAAAACGCGCTTTTCGCGTGTCACTTCTTTTTTTTTTGTCGGAGTGGATAGAGCAAATGTGCGAGTGTGTAATTTGGGGAAGCGAGTCGAATGTGACAGCGTGTTGCCGAGACGATAATATTATTAATAATATACATGATGTTACAGACACCTGTCTGTATGTTGTATAGGAATACACCTGCTTATAGGAACAGTCGACCGTTGACTTCTACATACAGGACTGGGAGATTGTGTTATATATATATATATATATAAATATATATATATATATATATATATATATATATATATAAATATATATATATATATATATATATATATATATATATATATATATATATATATATATGTCGTACCTAGTAGCCAGAACTCACTTCTCAGCCTACTATTTAAGGCCCGATTTGCCTAATAAGCCAAGTTTTCCTGAATTAATATATTTACAATAATTTTTTTCTAATGAAATGATAAAGCAACCCTTTTCTCTATGTATGAGGTCAATTTTTTTTATTGGAGTTAAAATTAACGTAGATATATGACCGAACCTAACCAACCCTACCTAACCTAACCTAACCTATATTTATAGGTAAGGTTAGGTTAGGTAGCCAAAAAAAGCTAGGTTAGGTTAGGTTAGGTAGGTTAGGTAGACGAAAAAACATTAATTCATGAAAACTTGGCTTATTAGGCAAATCGGGCCTTGAATAATAGGCTGAGAAGTGTGTTCTGGCTATTAGGTACGACATATATATATATATATATATATATATATATATATATATATGTCGTACCTAGTAGCCAGAACTCACTTCTCAGCCTACTATTTAAGGCCCGATTTGCCTAATAAGCCAAGTTTTCCTGAATTAATATATTTACAATAATTTTTTTCTTATGAAATGATAAAGCAACCCTTTTCTCTATGTATGAGGTCAATTCTTTTTATTGGAGTTAAAATTAACGTAGATACATGACCGAACCTAACCAACCCTACCTAACCTAACCTAACCTATATTTATAGGTAAGGTTAGGTTAGGTAGCCAAAAAAAGCTAGGTTAGGTTAGGTAGGTTAGGTAGACGAAAAAACATTAATTCATGAAAACTTGGCTTATTAGGCAAATCGGGCCTTGAATAGTAGGCTGAGAAGTGCGTTCTGGCTATTAGGTACGACATATATATATATATATATATATATATATATATATATATATATACATATATATATACACACACATATTTTAATATGTGGCCAATGTGATATCAGTTGCCCCCCTCCCCCCAGCCTCGCCACCACCTGGCTCCCCCTCCCCTTATCTCGCTACCACCTGCCCCCCCTCCCCCAGCCTCGCCACCCCCCCTCCCCCAGCCTCGCCACCCCCCCCTCCCCCAGCCTCGCCACCACCTGCCCCCCCCTCCCCCAGCCTCGCCACCACCTGCCCCCCCCCTCCCCAAGCCTCGCCACCACCTGCCCCCTCCCCCAGCCTCGCCACCACCTGCCCCCCTCCCCCAGCCTCGCCACCACCTGCCCCCCCTCCCCCAGCCTCGCCACCACCTGCCCCCCCCCTCCCCCAGCCTCGCCACCACCTGCCCCCCCTCCCCCAGCCTCGCCACCACCTGCCCCCCCCTCCCCCAGCCTCGCCACCACCTGCCCCCCCTCCCCCAGCCTCGCCACCACCGGCCCCCCCCTCCCCCAGCCTCGCCACCACCTGCCCCCCCTCCCCCAGCCTCGCCACCACCTGCCCCCCCTCCCCCAGCCTCGCCACCACCTGCCCCCCCTCCCCCAGCCTCGCCACCCCCCCCCCTCCCCCAGCCTCGCCACCACCTGCCCCCCCTCCCCCAGCCTCGCCACCACCTGCCCCCCCCCTCCCCCAGCCTCGCCACCAGCTGGGAGTCACCTTGGGCCGCCACAGGCACAAGATACATCATGATACCAGCTGTCAAGTACAGGAGGGAAGCGAGTAATTTGGCTCTTTGCTTACTGAACGCCGTGAGAGGTGGACGGATAGAAGACGGGGGGAGGGGAAGAGAAGGAGGGAAGAGAAGGAGGGAAGAGAAGGAAGGAAGAGAAGGAAGGAAGAGAAGGAAGGAAGAGAAGAAAGGAAGAGAAGAAACGAAGAGAAGAAACGAAGAGAAGAAACGAAGAGAGGGATCGAGTGAACAGGGATAATACACGTAGAGAAATGATACCGAGGAGACCTGGATTGTACCTGGCTGGGGTTCTAGGAGTTCTTGTTTTCCTCAAGCCCAGCCCGAGGTCAGGCTTGACCTGTGGCAACTTGGTCCAACAGGCTGTTGTTGCTTGTATGTGGGGGGCCCGCAGGCCCCAAAAAAGTCACTACAGCCTGGTTAGTCCGGCACTTCTTGCAAGAACTTGTCCCAAGTGCCTCTTAAAGACATCCACCTTTGTTCCAGCAATGTTTCTAATGCTTGCTGGGAGGGTGTTGAACAGCTGTGTGGACCTCTGATGTTCAGACAGTGTTCTCTGATTGTGCCTATGGCACCTCTACTCCTCATTGGTTCTAGTCTGCATTTCCTTCCGTACCTTTCGCTCCAGTATGTTGTTATTCTACCTGTGCAAATTTGGGACCTGGCCCTCCAGTATCTTCCATGTATATATTATTTGATATCTTTCTCGGCCAATCTTCCTGTTTTTGGTGGCACTTATGATGAGGACTATAGTACTTATATGTACTTAGGCCTCATTGTTACTAACTAAACTAATCTAACCTAACTTCCCTAGGCCTAATTCACGATAGTAGGCCTAATAAAGTACATGTGCGTGCTATACTAGGCTTAAGAATATTTAAGTTTTATGTTTTAGCTTCATTTATTTTAGAAGAATGCCTTACTAGTCAGTACACTATTATCTAAAAGCTAAGAACGTACGAATTCTGACTACTGACGACTGTCATAATAGGTACTGTCTAAACAGGAGGACGGGTTGGTGCATATCTGATACCTCTCTCGTCTCCTGTCCAGAGAGCACATCTTAAGAGCTTTGAGACGGTCCTAATAATCTAGACGTTACTGACAGGAATGTGATAGGGATGGGGGGGGGGGGGTTGTGATAGGACGGTGGTGGGTGAGGGGAAGGGAGGGGGGGGGGTGGCAGAGTGAGGGAGAGAGTAGGGGAAGGATGGGGGAGGGGGGAGATGGAGGGGGGAGATTGAGGGGGATGGAAGGTGGTGGAGGGGGGAGGGAGATGGAGAGGGGATGGAGGGGAGACAAATCCAGCTGAGGACAGCAGTGATTAAGGCAGTGTCTGGGATGCTCCCGGACGCAGGTTCGAATCCTCATCACGGCCCTTGTGGATTTGTTCATTCTGTGCAGCTGTAAGTGACGGGTGGGCGGCCGTCTTCACACATTCCCCTGTCATAAAGGTCCCGTCTTCTCCCGTCGTCACACCGTCCTCA